TCTTATTCCGGGTAAACTCTCCCGCCAAATTTCTCCGCCTTCGCGAGGGCTTACCGTATATGGAATGTTTAACCACGTTTTCAGTATCTCAGATAATACACCTTCGAGTGATATTAACAAAAAACAAACTCCGTGACCTGTAGTCCGCAAGCCAACTATACCGACCGAGCAACCGCCGCTTGTCGGCGAAGTTAGTGCCAGCTTTAGCGGATGTAGGGTGTCGCGTGGTCAGCGCAACGAATCCCCACGGCCATTAATTTAGGTTTTCTAGACTGGAGCCGCTATTTCCTTGAAACAGCTCCTCAGTTATCCTCATGAGGTTGAGTGAACACCGATCCAGACCCACTACTTTCCAGAAAGTCTGGTAGCGCCGGGAATCGAACCCGGACCTCTGGATCTGTAGCCAGGAACGCCGACCACTAGGCCATAGAGGCGGTCTCTTCGAGTGACATTGTCTTGTTTAAAACATCTCTGAGTGTACGTCGTACCTTGAGCTACACAGCCTTGCGGAAGAAAAATCCTGTGTCCGACGAGACCTCCGTAGGGTGACCTTGGTATTTATTTAATAAGGTAAAAGTGTCCCTGTGCTTAACTAATTAAGCACTACGCCATGAAGGCGTATGGCGGAATGGATGTATAAATCCACATTTTCTTGACCTCGGCACTAGCTGGAGGGGAAAGAGCCCCCAGTACCCGTTGGATAGGAGGCTGGGTGGGCCCCAGAGACGGTCTCGATGACGTGGAAAAAAAGAAAATTTTGACTCTACCGGAACTCGATCTCCGACCCCTCGGTCGTCCACCCCGTAGCCAGTCGCTATACCGACTACGCTAACCCGGCTATATCCATTTTAATATTATCCCACAAATATACGTAGGTCTTCCAAGAAATGTCTTGTCTCCAGCTTCCCCAACCTCAACTTTGTGCACTCAGATCTCCAAAATAGTATTAATCTGCGTTTAATTAGCTAATGAATTAACTAATATACAATCGACGGACTGACAAGTAACTCACTCACAGGATAATTAACTGAGTAATCAACTAACTAAAATCGCCATGATGAATATTGTCCATCGGCTTATGTATATTTAATTTACATGACGTTTCGAATGATGGATCTGCTGCCGTCATCAGGTGTAAAACGGAAAGTGAGCTTACTCATTTGGAACCGCCAAGACGGAAATCAGTCTCGATCGCCGAGCTCTTTCTGATGGGCAGGAATATTCCTACTTTTACACCTTAAAACGGAAGTAGATCATGCATTCGAAACGTCGTGTAATTGAAATATACCTAAGAAGATGGGCAATGTTCAAAATAATGTTTTTAATGGAAAAACAGACATTTCTGAAGCTTCAGAGGCTCGTAACCAACAAAATCCGTTGAAGGGCACGCTAGAATCAGCAACTGCTGAGACATATGTCGCTCTTGCAGGAAGAGCAGAATACAGATTAGAGAGACTGAGAAGAGGGTGTGAAGGTGTTCAGCTGCATTATCCCCCTTAACCAGCAGGAAAATATGCGAGGTGGGGGTGTATACGATCTCCGGATATCACGTCCCCACTTCCACTTACCCCTGCAGTAAATAATTACCGAAAACCGCCTTTTGATCGCAGACTTTACCTACACCCCCCCTCTCTCAAAGAACTTTGCATCCTGTTTCCCACAGTTCCAGCCAGCAGGGGCTGCAACCCTTTATCTATACAATAATATAAATGTGTATTCACGTTATCAGACACCGGGAATATGCGAAGATAAACTTTAACAGTTTCTTGGAAACCGGTCGGGTCGCGCCCCTGACCCTGGAGTGTTGTTGGCACAAAGTTTTATCAACATTCTTTGCTTTGGCGTGCGTCCGCTACGGGCTCGAAACAAAGCGACACAGCAGAGCTTTGGCTGGCTTCTAAAGCACCTATGCGACTGGCTATGGGGCTGGATGACATAAGAATCCGGGTTCGATTCCCAACAGGAGCAAAAGATTTTTCTCTTCTTGACAATGTCTAAACCAGTTCTGGGGTCCACCCAGCCTATCCCAGCTGGTACCAGGAACCGTTTCTTCGGCGATACAGAGGCCGGGGCGATCTCACGCCTAAGTTAAAAATGCGTCACTCCCCCATATGTCTTCATGGCGTGGTGCTTAATTAAGCACAGGGTCTGCGTTTCCTTTATTTTCAACTTCTATGTTTTACTTCTGAGGTAAGATTTGATAACGTACACATATTAAAGGTAAAGCTATCCCTGTAACAGACCATGGAGGTCCATAGGGCTGTGAGACGTTGAGGCTCACACATTCTCAACACAATCGGCTCGGCTCACAGATGGCGGTGAGATTGTCAGCCTTATGCTCCGGCCGCACTTTACCCCCCAAGAAGATTCCAGGTACTCGTTTCTGTTAGAGGCTGAGTCGTCCCCAGGGCCATAGTGCCGCTGGAAGGATTAGGTCAATTGAAAAATCTAGTGACATAATCGGGAATCGACCCCGCAACTTTTGTGCGTCAGTATATACGTACTGGGACGCGCTATTTCCAAGTGGCCTGCATGGCGTATTACTTTTCCATGAGGCTGCACTGGATATTTTATCAGTGTCACATGAAGCTACTGCCTGACCGCTGAGTACGACAGTTTAACTTGAGAGTTCGCGCTGCTGCGCCGACGCGCCGAGCATATGAGCACGTCTCACTTGTCCAGTCTGCGTTATGACTGCGTGCGCACGTGTTTCGCGGAACCGGAAGGCCGGATATGCGAAAATCGTAGGTCGAAGTACACCTGCGCGCGCGTGTACTCGAGGCTATGATCAGCGTCCCACAATCCGATTACCAATTATCACGGGCTTAAATCCAATACCGATAAAAAAAAAGGTTTATCGAGAAGCTCTTCAAAATGAGCATTTGTCACGGCAATGACGGACGAGTGTAGACGAAATATAAACTAAAGAACATGCCTATAAAAAGTTCTTCCTTATGGAATATAGCGGTACATAATTCAGTGAAAGTCAACAGACGTTTCGAAGGAACATGTCGCCTCTATCTTCAAGGTCGAATACTGGGGCTAAGCAATAAACCAGCTGGTTGATTTTCACAAGACTACACGGCGTCACATTCTAGGAGTCAATACTGTTCATAGCCATAGCTGTTAAAAAACTCCGTGATTTAGTCAGCAAGCGAACTATACCGACCGAGCGACCACCGCTTGTCGGCGAAGTTAGTGCCAGCTTTAGCGGATAGAGGGTGTCGCGTGGTCAGCGCAATTAATCCCCACAGCCGTTCATTTCGGTTTTCTAGACCGGAGCCGCTATTGCCTTGAAATAGCTCCTCGATTATCCTCAGCAAGGCTGAGTGGACACCGTTCCAGACACACTACTTCTTAAAAAATCTGGTAGCGCCGGGAATCGAACCCGGACCCCTGGATCTGTAGCCAGGAACTCTGACCACAGAGGCGGTCAGCCACCGCTGTTAGAACATCAAATTGAACCTCGCGGAAAGAAAGCCATGTGTGCCCAATGAGATCTCTGCTTCCATCTCACGCTGGAAATAGGATACAGAAACTTCCTAATGACGACATTAGGACCTGCGTCACTATCCGATAATGATGCGGTACTGGAGATGTTTCAGACAGACAGTAGCTCATGTTCTCCGGTGTTTGTTTCCTACGCCTCCATTAACACCAGCGACGCGTAAGAAATAGAACACCAGAAAGCACTGTGCATAATATTAAGTTCCTTTAGAATTTTCAGTGATGTCCACCATGCAACAATATCAAATTAAATCCTCTTTAAAATTCGAAAGCGCAGCAGATCCCACGAATTTCAGCGCACCTGATGATGGCCGAGTAGCCCGAAACATGTAGTGCAGTTACGAATTAAAAAAAAATATATTGAAGTTTAATGGGAGTATGCGGTAGCGTAGTTGGTTGAGTCGCTACGCTACAAGCCGTAAGGTCGCGGGATTTTTCAACTGACCTAAACCTTCAAGCCGCAGTATGGCCCTGGGGTCGACTCAGCCTGCAGTCTGCCGCCACCTGCACATGCTGCTGGTTCCTCGATAGCGGATTTCCTACCCTGAAGATGGAGGCGATACCTTCCTCTGAAACTTTGGTTCACACATGATCTACACGGCGCCACATCCCAGAACACGGTATTCTTCACACATCGAACTCATGGACATTTTAATACAGGACCCAGAGAAATTCATGTGGGATTTTGGTGAAACGGCGAAAAGGATTCTGGGTGAATATTTTGCTGTTCCACCCGCCATTCTGCTGACAGGCTTCGTAGTGAGATTTGAACACGGTACTCGTCTGCTACAAATCGAACGCAATTTTGCTCATCGCAGACAACATAGGGGTTGTTGCGGAATCGAACCTGGGGCTCCTCAGTGAGAAAGCAGCCTCTAACTTCTCACTGCACCTGAATAGGGACAATGAACATCGCCAGTGAACAGATTAACGAGGGTCAGAAGGTTATAATTTCTTTTAATTATATTATCAAGTTCTCAGATGCTAACATGACTAACCATCTAACACCAGTGGTTACTGCTTTAACACACTAAATCTCTGCATTCTGGCCACACAGCGTATTTATGTGTTCCATACGGTTCTCACAATAAACAGCGACTGTTTCCCTAAACAGTATTAACCGGTTGGTAGTTGTCATGGAGACGCAATGTGTTTCCTGTGGGGTACGTGGTCGCTGTCCCAACCAATAACAGCATATGCAGTGGCTAAAATTTAAAACAGCGAATAACGCCAAAACTTAGAAACGAAAGTTCAACTGCGTACTAAAGAAAAGAGAGGGAATGTCTCATGGGTCCCGTGGGGCTCGGAACAAGAATCACTGTGCTGGCGAGAGCCAGCAGCAATTTAACAGTCAGTCAGTTGTAACGGATCTGTTACAGAATTCCGTGTCTCAGCGTGAGTACTTCCTTCACTGTTGTCTTGTTCTCTATAGTAGATCTGAACAAGGGCCAGTACAGGATGAAACCAGTTGCAGCTTTGATCGGAAACTTTACCTTTATCGCAAGGACGGTGTCGGCAATGTGTCTCCGGGTGAACGCGCACAAAGGCCGCTGGATCTGAAACAGAAATTAAACCACAAACATTTATAAGCGACACACATGAGAAGATAATATTAAGGTCTATCTCAGGGATGCACACTGTGAGAATGGGAGTTGGATTGAACTGGCTCATGATTATGTTCAGTGACACGCTTTGTTAATTAGCTGTATTGCAACATCTAGGTCTGTTACCACTGAGTCAGGAAGTTACTGTCACGTGTATGAGTGGCTATAGACGGGTTTTGCGTTGATGATCGGATTTATTGACTACACTTTACAATTGACTGTTATATACACACACACCCAATAGTACACACATTCACGTCTTCAACAGCCGTTGCTGGGTATCGGCCTCCAACGGCGGGCGTTCCTCTTCCTCTGGGTTCCCGCACTATCCCCGGCCTCACCTACCAGTTTCTAACAGCTCTAGATCACAATGACTGAATCGCAGGAGCTCACCGACTGACTCAGTCACTCACCAACCAGCTAACTCTACTCAACTAACGCTCACTAACTCTTCTCCTTATAACATTTTGGCACAGACCGCGCAGAAAACAATGCTCCATTACTGCTTTGGAAACATGCTTGTTTGCAAAGTTGTTACTTAGCAACGACAGTTGGGTATCTGCTTCTTTCGCGGTCGTTGCCTAGTAACGGTCTACATGCCAGAGTATCTTGTGATTTTCAATACACTATTATTATTGACAAATAATGTATATAATATTCAAGCGGGATCTGGCTGCATCCCCTGTCAACATCACAGTATACAGTAGCTATGACTTTAAAGAAGGACTAACACTAGAATTAAGAAATTAAAATCGAGCCCTGTAATGAAGAGAGGACTGCGAATTAGGATTCGAATCGCATCAAAAAAGTCTATCGCAACCGATGAATTTGGAAGGTTATATAATCTCTGAAACCACAGACACGAGTATTGAACCCTCAGCGTAACATATCACGAAATGCTTTTAGCTCTCAATGTTCGATGGATGATGAAACTAAAAACGTTCCTGAGACAGCGCATTTGCTGCCTGCACACAGAAAGCCGCCCCATGGCGCGCAGTCATGTCTAGCCCTTTAAACTTTAAAGGGCTAGACTTGACTGTGTGCTTTAAAGTTTAAAGTTTAAAGCACAGCGGTTGAAGTCTGCACATGAAACAAACTGTGAGAAGAATACGTATTCATCGCCCCCCCCCAATAAAGCAACAGCCAGATAGGGAATGACATTAGGGTTCGTGCATTTAATGCCGGACTGTTGGCTGGAAGTCAGTTTGCAGCCGGAAGGTTCTGCGAAACGCCAATTCGATAAAGGTTTTCCGTGGTTTTCCTCGGTCATAGAGCAAATGCTGTGTTGGCCTCCAAATTTCCACGTTGCATGGCTTGCTTCACAAGTGGACTTCCCAATGGTAACATTAAAAAATCGGCCTAATGTCACATCAAACTTCGCTATAATGCAGCCGCTCCAACATTAATATCAACATTAATTATGTCCGCAACGAATTCCACTTTTACATTTTTCACTTCCCAAACTTTTACCCTCTCTCAAAAGCAACTCCCTCAGAAGGACGGGCGAGCACTGTCTGGGAACATTCAAAGCAGGAAAAACTGTTGTTCAGTCTATCTTAAATCTGATACCTCTCCCGCCCTCCGCTTCTTCGGGCCTCAAAGGGGTGAGAGGAAACAGCGTGATCGAGGGAGATGCGTTGAGCTTCAGGCAGAACTGGCGAGATACGAACTCCTGACAATGCGGCTTCAGACCCCAACAGCTGCAAGGTTGTTCCAATGTCTGTCGCGTTCTGGTACGTGTCCACATCCGCTCTGCTCTGCAATTACTTACGTATGGATCCAGTTGAAAAGAGAATGCTACTTTCCAGTATCGATTGTTATCGTGAAGATCCGTGGCAAGCAATTCCAGCATGTTCGTGTCCACAACTTCCTTCGCTTGACATGCGAATGGCAGCCACTCCATGATTCCTTTAGTTTTATAGCTAAAATGGCGGTCCCAAACTTCACGGTCTTCTGGGAAGATACGTATGTACCAAACGACACGGCGTCACAGCTCACAGGACCGTGAGATAATGCATTCGTTAGACGGTAAATAATTCGAGAATTGCTGACCACAATCTCATGATATTTTGTTGTTAAAAGTAGCCGACATGTTCCAATGTTAGTTAAAACGAAACAGATGTAACATAATGTCACGTGTACGGATGTGACTACAGACGGGAAATAGTTTGGTGAATAGATTTACTGGCCACTTACAGGTCGTAGCGACAAATAACTGTAACACCATCGCTGATTTCCGCACTTTACGAATCACCACACGCTAAGACTTCTCCAGCCTGCTTTCACTAGTCGTTTCCTGATAACGGATCTTAACAATGCAGATTCTTCAGCTTCTGTGTTCATGTCGTTGCCCGCTGGCTAACACTCCACAACCGAATGGTCAACTCAGCTCATTCAAGTCAAAGTCACATTCCGACTGACGGTCAATCAGTAGGTCTTGGTGTCGAGCCCCATATTTATTACTGTTTGACAGTTTCGGTCTTGTTTTAGTGGGGCGCCCTCTCTGAGGAGAGCACGGGTCTGTCTTTTGTCAGAGTCACTGCCTGCAGTAGTAAGTCATTTGTCATAATGTAAATGATATTTACATTTACATGTTAAATATGTCAATAGATGTATACAAAATATATATAGTGCCTCTGTCAGTCCAAGTTCAGTATAGCAGATTATGCTTCTAGTAGCTTCCGCTACAACGGCAGTCTAGTCACTTGAATCAACTCATTGTTCCATCTGTCCTGGTTATAACACCTCGGCACGGAACACACAGAAAACTTCATTCCACTGTTGTGTGCGTATTCTTTGCAGCGGTAACGTGTTTACCGAGCCGTTGCCTAGAAACGGTCGCTGTTTGTTCGCCTTATTTCGCGGTCGTTGCATAGTAACGGCTGTACATGCTATAATACACTTCGAATAAAGTCCTACACGAACTGTTCCGCGCATAGTGGTCCTAACTCGCTAAATATTTATCGCAGCGAAAAATATTCCGAACAAAAATTGTAGAGAAAAACGGAACACACATTTTATGTCCAGTATTTTTTCTTTACTGTAGGTCTCGTGGTTTTAGAGATCATTACACGAAGTTGCGCGAAGGGACCCGAGGTGTTGCTGTGCTATGGGTTCATTTCCTCCCTTGCAACACAGACGAAGGCAAATGAAGGATCTGTTGACTGCTCTTTGCAGGTCATCTCTCTCCTGGAAAGTTGCAGAGCAGCGCGCCCTTCAGCCCCTGAATCCAATTAACACGGAGTGCTAAGAGGTTCATGATGGGGGATGTTTTGCTGGCCACAGCAGCCCCTAACGCGCTGCTCGCTTCATCCACCCGGCCACTCTGCGCTGCAACAAACTGATCAGAGATTGTGCCTTAACTCGGGCGGATAGACACTGGAGTCTCGTGGCAGGGATCCGGGTTCAATTCCGGGCGATTTACTGTGAGATTTGTGGTGGACGTAGGTGAAATCTTCTAGTTTCCCCTTTTAATCATTTCACCATTGCTCCATACTCATGTATCATCGCCCCCTAAGGTGTACGACAGCCGTGAACACGCAGCACCGTATCACATACTCGGGCTTTAAGTTGGGGGTTTCACCTCTGGACCAACCCTTGACTGGTTACACAGCAAGTTTGGCAAAGGGGTCCACTCACTACAACGGAAGAAATCGTGCCGTGGCCACTTTCAACTTCTCTAGAATTGTATTTACAGACCGGCAATGGTTATAGGAGTCTTTACACAAGCTCAGTCGGTATAGCGACGGGCTAAAAGCCGGATGACAGAGGAACATTGCTTTGACTCCCGGAAGGGGTAAGAGATTTTTCTTTTCTCTAGAGCGTCCAGATTGCCTCTGGGGTCCATCCAGCCTCCTATCCAATGGGTACCGATGGTACTTTCCTCAGAGGTAAGGCGGTCATGGCGTGAAGCTGACCACTAACCCCATATGGTGTTGAGGTCAAAACTGGTGGAGCCGTACCTCCACTCCCCCATGACTTCATGGCAAGGTGCTTAATTAAGCACAGCGACAATTCTACCTTCTACCCTACATGTACACCACATACGACACAGAGATGACCTAACGTCACTGAAAAGTTACTTGGCTGAGGAACCTTACAATGCTGACAGTCGCTCAGCTGGTGAAGAAATTCCCTTGCTCCTATGGAATCCGAAGCTTTAGTGCCGTGTTCACTGGAGCGCGCCTCTGGACCCCATCTGAGCCATTTGAATCCAGTCCACGTTCTCTCACAGTATATAGGATGCATTTTAATAATATCTTCCCATCTACGCCTTGGCCAAGTAGCCTCCATTCTTTAGGGGATTTCAGCTTTAAATGGTACACCCATTTTCCATCTCTCCATACAATGACAAAATTCCTTTTTAACTTACACCATTAAATTAACGCATCTGATTTTGACTTCACAACATTTCAGCACCTCTGTGAAAATGCAATCTTTACGTGGCGTGAAAGTTCTGTACGGCATGAAACACGCCCGTCACTTCAGTGTGAACCACAGGCCTGCCGCCTGCTGCGCTTTCAGGCGGAAGCTTCATGACCCATGCCACATAACTTTGAGGGACAAGAGAAAAACCGCGCAATCTTGTCTACTCGTCCGCGTATAAGAAAACCCGAAATATAATTTAAAAAAGCCACGTGTGTCACTTATCCACAAGCACAGGAATTTCCATTAAATGACCATACAGATCGGCTCACGCGGCCATTGGTACGCAAAACTGACATTCACAGAGCAGGCTAGCGTCGCGGTATCGTATTCTGGAGGTGCGGAGTTCTCGTCCGAGGCACCGGGGCTGTCCTGACCCCGTCTTTTCTAATCTGTCCTCAGTCCCTTCAAGCATATACAAATTCCTTCCATTTTAACCCACCATCTTACACTTCGAAATTATACAGCGTCGCAAAACAAACGAAGATGGAACGCCGTGTATTTCGGAGAGGCTGCTTCTATTGTTT